GTATCATATATCTGTCCTTCCATCCATCTCTCTATCCATGCACCTACCCATCCGCCACCAACCCACGCCTTCCTCCATCCATCTCCCTATCCGGTCCATCTCCTGCAATGAATGCGGAGGCTGAGCCTAGTAATACCTACTTTCTTTCTTTTGCCCCCACACTAATATATCCTGTTCTACACATGCACATACCAACACCCACACACCCACATGTGATACCCACATGTATACATGCTGCATATGATTTATTAACACCCCAAATTCACACGGGCACTCTTCATGCATATAACCACATACGTCCTCATGGCAAGCATCGCCCGGCCCTGTGCAACACACCTTTGCTCACCTGCATTCAGGGAAGACTCCCTATGTCGTCGAGGGAAACATCTGCAGACCCTGGCTGGTTGTCTTCACCTCTGATAGAACCCCTGTTTGCCTGTCTCTTCCACCTTCACCAGTCTTTTCTTTCTCATCCCAGACACTTTCCACTCGGGAAGCCAGAGCCCTCTAGAGCAGGGAACACAGCCCACTAGGCATTCTCTCTACCAACAATGACTATTAGCATAGTTGCTGCTTCATCCTCAGCATCCAGGCCACACTCCGCCCTCTGTGACCGATGGTTGAGAAAAGGTCCTAAAGTGGTCCAGAGGTGTGTATGCCGGACATCGGCACTTGTATCTGCATGAATGACACCATATGTGTATTCCCACACATGTGTTGAACATGGACTGTGAATACACACCTGGCTGTCTCTACACTTCCGGATGTATTGCCAGGTTAGAGTCTGTCTTTTCCTTCCTTCCTTCCTTCCTTCCTTCCTTCCTTCCTTCCTTCCTTCTTCCCTCCCTCTCTTCCTTTTTTCTTCCTCCCTCTCCTTTCCTTTTGTCTTCTCTCCCTCCCTCTCTCCTCTTTTCCTTGTCGCTCATCCTATTCTTTCTTTTTTCTTTCTTTTCTCCTTCTTCCCAACCTCCCTTTCTCCTTTCCTTTCTTTTTCTTGCTTTTTGACTTTTTTTTTTTTAATATGGAACGCTTCACGAATTTGTGTGCCATCCTTACTCAGGGGCCATGCTAATCTTCTCTGTATTGTTCCAGTTTTAGTATATGGGCTGGCGAAGAGAGCATGCTTTTTGATTTTTTTTTTTTTAGACATGATCTCACTCTGTAGTCCAGGCTAGCCTCAAAATCATGGCAACCCTCCTGTCAAGTACTGGGATTACAAACATGAGACATCCTGTTCATGAACCTTCTTCAAAGACATGTGATGTCCAGATGTGGCTCTAAAGACCATGTGCAGTGTTCTCAAGCCGAACACCTGGCAGCAGGGTTTAAACACGCCAGCTCATGATGCTCTGGAAGGACCTGGGTTCCATACTGGCTCTGCTCACAGCCACTGGGTACGTCTTACCCAAGATTTTCTTTGCCAAGTGACAGCAGCCATAGGTGCCTATGAGCAGTTAGTGTCCTTGTTGAGTTCGCTGCTTCAGCTCCCATGCACCTTTGAGGGGAAGGACAGTCCTGGTTGGGAGTTTGTATGGCGAGACCAAGGTACATAGTGATTATGCCTCTTCCCAGGTGCTCCCCCAATCCCAAGCCCTCATTACCCTACATGCATATTCATAAGGGATGGCCTCATCCCTACTCTGTAAATGGGTCATAAGCAGGAAGTAGAGGCCAGTGCAGAGATCTGAGGCCCAGGGGACAGGAGGCTCAAGGCAGGAGTGCGTCTGAGTCCTCATGGACGGGAGGCTGGTGAGAGGACTGGGTACCACTTGTGGGAAGTTAGGTTCCATTGAGGGCTTGGGAGGGCTTAGGTCTTTGTTAAGATTTGTTCAGTAATGACAGTATGTCAGAGACCCCTGGGGCAGATGGCTTGTGGAAGCCAGGGCTTTCTTCCTATGGGGATTAGGGAGTTGAGTGGGTGACAGGCACAGGGGGATGGACCATTTTTTCTCAATGAATTCAGTTTCCATGTCATTAAGTGGAGAAGCTAAATCTGCGCCCTCGCACTCCCGTGAGACTCGGTAAGGCTGGGTGACTTGTCACAGCCACGCCACACAGTTGTGATCTTGTCTTTGGAGGTGTGAGAGACGGTTATTCTAGTCCCAAATGGGAGGCTAAAGGCTGAGAGAAAAGCTGAAGGGCTGAGGTTGCCAAGCAATCAAACCTTGCTATCCCCTTCTTCATAGCATGTCCTCACCAGCCCCTGAGATAACCCATGCAAAATGATTGTTTCCGTTTTACAGATGAGAAGCGTGAGGCTGAAGGAGGAGGAGGTGGCCAGACAGGAATACACAGTGAGTAGTTGGCACAGGGTTGGTCCTTCCTCCCAGGGGACTACACAGTGAGTAGTCGGCACAGGGTTGGTCCTTCCTCCCAGGGTGATGCTGAGGACTACACAGTGAGTAGTCGGCACAGTGAGTAGTCGGCACAGGGTTGGTCCTTCCTCCCAGGGGACTACACAGTGAGTAGTTGGCGCAGGGTTGGTCCTTCCTCCCAGGGGACTACACAGTGAGTAGTTGGCGCAGGGTTGGTCCTTCCTCCCAGGGTGATGCTGAGGATCCCGGAGCCTAGCTGGCCGTGGTCTCAGGTGTGGGTAAGGCCAGCACCATGACAGCACAGTATTCTGTCATGGAAATTTCCAGCCTAAAACTTAGGAGCTCTTTCTGCACTGCAGCCATATTAATGCCCTCTCTTCTCAGAAAGCAGCTGCTCAGCCGGGTGGTCATGGTGGCACACACCTTTAATCTCAGTACTCAGGAGGCAGATGCAGGCGGATCTCTGTGCTTTTGAGACCAGCCTGGTCTCCAAAGCAAGTTCTAGGCTAGCCAAGGCTAGACAGTGAGATCCTGCCTCAACTACCTCACCACTCAAAAAACCAACTACTTTTAGACTGTGCTCTTGGATGCTCCTACCTGCTTTGTGGGGTTGAGCAGAATAACCAGCCTTACTTCAGAGAAGGGTATCGAAGCAGAGGAGGTGAAGTGTCCCCAGGATGGCATAGGCTCTGGGAGGCTGGGGCAGCCTAGGAACCTCAGGTGTCATACCTCTGTGTCTTGGGCATCCTACTGTCCTGGGTCATGGAAAGGGGGTGCTGTTGGTAGAGTTCATGGGGACAGGGGTGACTGGGGGAGCAGATACTGGGATGGGCACAATCGGAGGGTGGGTGGCATTTCAGGTTTAGAGAGCAGGCATATGAAAGGTGACTGTGAGGGGCTGTGGAGTCAGGATGTTGTCACGGTAGAATGAGGAAGCAGTTTGCGCTGAGAGCTCACTTAGCCTGCCTTGCCGCATCTCCTCCTTGTGCAGCCCTCACAGAAAGAGAGAGTACAGCCAAAGATGAATCGGGGCAGGGTGATGCTTTCAATCACTTCCAGTCTCCAAGAGAGGTGCAGCTGGCCAAGGACAGCCCTTGAGGATCTGAGGCCAAGGCCACACTTGGTGGCTTCCTAGCACTACCCCTTTCGAGTTGTGCGGACCTCAGTAGCAAGAGCAGCAGTTTCTGTGACCACTATTAGTGTCTGGCCAGGGCTAAGGTTACCTTGAGCCTCAGTTTCCTCATCTGTGAATCAGGGTAGGGAACAAATCTACTTCTCAGGACAGACACGGACTCAGATGGCGCCACGAAAGAGCGTGGCTCTTGCTTGAGCTCTGGCAAGGTGAATGACGTGTGACTGTCTATTGTGCCAGAAGCGCCAGGGAAGTGGGCAGAGCTTCATTTATTCCCCGTCAGGCTAGGTTGTAGGCTGGTGGACATGGTTCTCTGCATCCCGAAGATGTGGGGTGTGAGCAAAGCTTTGAAGACACCACTGGTGGGATAAAGAGAAGGACTTTCAGGAGGAAGGCACCGCACGGGCTGATGGGTGGAGGAGGGAAAGTGCAGGGTATTTGCGGAACAGCCCCGGCACAATTACCGGCTCAACCAGGTGCTGTGTGAATCACCCAGGGAAGCAGTTGGGCAAGATTTTTGGCCCCTGGGGCCAGCCAAAGCCTATACACTTCACTCCCTAACATTATCTGGTCTAGAGTCGATGGGGAGAAGGTTTGGGGTGAGCTACCATAATTACCGACCTCTGCTGCACCTGATCGTGGGGATGACCTGCCAGGATGCCCTCCCCCCAGTGACCTCCTTAGCTGGGAGGTCTGGCTGCAGTGCCGAGCAGTCTGCCTGCATCTGTGTGTCTCTGTGGCCAGAGGCAGAGCCAGTGGTTTGAAGAACAGGTGGATGGAGAGGAGGTGGTCTGGACAGATACGAGGTTGGGGGCCTTGGCGGGGACTGGATGATGAGGGGCCTCTATTCCTTGGGCACTTGCTGCATGTTGTAACAGTGCCACGGGGCAAGCACCTTTACTTCAGTAGGGGAAACTGAGGCTCAGAGAAGTAAAGTAGCCTCCTCCAATCTCCACCTCTCTGTCTCCCTCTCCTTCCCTTCCTCCCTCCACTCCTTCTTTCCTTTCACAGAATCTCACGTAGCCCAGGCTGACCTAGAAACTGCCTATGCAGCTAAGGATGATCTTGAATTTCTGATTCCTGACTCCCGAGTGCTCCAATTACAGGCATGAGCCACCATGTCGTTTTATGTGGCTCAAACCCAGGACTTCATGCATGTAGTCAACTCAGCTACATTACCACCTCTCCTTTTCATCCAGTAATTTATTATTCAGCACCCATAGATCGAGCAAAGGTTTTGCGCCAAGGTCTAAAGGAGTCACAGAGGACCACCTCTTAGATCCTTCCTGGGGTCAGTCACACAATGGCCCTGGTGAAGTTCAAATCCAGGTGTATTTCCATATTCTCGCACGGTTCAGGATACAAGCCTAGGTCAGAGTTGGGTGGGGCTGCGCCCGCCCGCGTAATTACAGGAGTTTTCCCCACCTCAACCTCTTTCGGTAAAGTCTAGCCCCAAGCACCTGTCCCAGGTGAGTCTTAGGAGGCCGCCGAGCGTCGCCGGAAAGTGTCGAGCGACTTCGGCAGGTGGGGGCGGGGCCTGGGCGGGGCTGGGCTCGGGGTGGGGCCAGCCAAGCGCCTGGAGTCTCACCGGATCCGGGATCCGAGGCCAGCGCCCCGCGCCCCGGGCCGCTCTCAGCCATGGGAGCCTGTCTGGGGGCCTGTTCCCTGCTCAGCTGCGTGAGTGTCCACCCCGTTCCTGCTGCGCCCCCGCTCACTTTTTCTCTACCTTCTCCAAGTACTTTCTTCTTTTTTGTTTTCTCCAAACTTGTCTTTCTGGGACCCCACAGGCGCCCTTCTAAACCTCCTTCCGCAGTCACTCGGTTTCGGTAGCCGGGCTCTGGACAGCTGGTGTCGCCGCTCGGGTGACCGCGGGGAGGGGTAGGGCGCGGCTGGGTGCCCTAGGCGCCACCGCTCCGGGAACCGGGACATTGAGGCCCGCAGCGAGTGCGGGGAGCCCCGCCGCCACCGCGCGTGCCCCATCACAGAGCGGCCCCCGGGAGCGTGGCGCGTCTCTCTCCGGGGCGCGGGACTCTTTGTGTGTGACTAGCAGGGTCCCGGCTCCCCTCTGCCTGTGCTTCTCTCTGGCAGAGCTGTCATTCTGTCTGTCCCTGTCGCCTGGCTCAGTCTGTTCTTTTGTGTTTGTCCTGTCCGCGTCTCTAGGGTTCGGGCTTAGTCCGTCTGTCTGAGCGTCAGAACCGTCTGCATCCTCTCTCTGCGCGCAGTCTGGCCGGCTCACTCTTGGGCACCCCCCCCCCCCCCGAAAGCTACGGACCCTTCCCCTCCAGCCCGAGCCGGGAAGGGGATGGGGGTTGGGGGTTGGGTATGAAGCCCTCCCTCCACTTGAACGAGGTTGGTGTCGATTGTCACCGACCACCCGGGCCAAACTTTGGATTCGGGAAGACCCAGAAATAGAAGGAGGTTGTATGTGCCCACCTGGTCGCCTGTGTTGGGGACCAGACGGGTGGCCAGCTCTGCTTTGGGGCAACAACGAACTGAGGGGAGGGAATGCAGCCATACCCGGCTGAGAGGCCCGTACTTTCCCTTTCCCAGCCCCCTTCCCTTCCCCCCTTCACATTAAATCTGAGGTTCATTCAGACTGCTCCCTCCCCTTCTGGCCCCACACAAAGAGGGGCGGAGAGGGGCTCCAGCGGCTGGCTGCAAAATGAACGCTCAGGACTTGCTTCCTTTGTCCCTGATTTGTGTGCGTGTTAGGAGCGGGTGCCCAGGCCAGAGCTGGGCATCTAGAGGTTTTCTTTGTAGCCATTTTTCTGAGAGTGCGCTCAGCCTAGGGAGGAAATGGAGTGGGTCCCTGGACACAGCTCTTGTCCTCTGTTGGGCTTGTTTCCATTGAAAGATGTGTGTGTGTGTGTGTGTGTGTGTGTGTGTGTGTGTGTTCTCTTGCTCCCCAGTCTGAGTAAGGATATTTGCTTGCTGATGCCCCTGCCCTTTTCCAGGCACTGCTTCCTGGTTAGGGAGGGAGACCGTCCCACTCACAGCCCACAAGATTCCCATCTGGTCTTGCCTGGTTACCCATGCCCGGCTGGGGGAGGGTTCTGAGGGCAGACCTGCCAGTTCCCTATGCCTTGCTCTCCCCATCTGTGAGCTGAAGGCCCCTGCAGTGCTTTCCTTGGTACACTATTGGGGAGATAACAGATGAGAGGTGGAAACTGCCACCCAGCTCCTGTGTATAGCGAGCAGGCATCAGTGGGAGCTGCTGTTATCCTGGAGGAAATGTAGGTGGAGAATTCCATCTGGAGAACAGAGCCAAGAACTTCTCTGAGTCACCCAGTCTGCAGGACAGAGTTGAGGCCAGCCAGGCTTGCTCAGACGCTCATTCCAGGGGTTAGCTCTCTTGTCTCAGGTTGCCCAGTGGAAATAGGAGGGAATTACAGTCAGTTCAAACCTGAAGCCAGAGAGCTGGAGAGCTCAGCACTTAAGAGCATTGGCTGTTGGTCTGGAGGACCTGAGTTGGATTCCCAGTGCCTACAGGGCAGCTCACAATGGTCTGTAACTCCAGTTCCAAGGTAGCTAGCATCCTCTTCTGTTTCCCTCAGGCACTGCACACACAGTGCACAGACATGCATACAGGTAAAAACACTCATACACATAAGATAAAAATAAAAAAAATGAATCTAAAATAAATGTTAAAAGTCTGAAGCCAGACACAGTAATGCATGCCTATCGTCCCAGTATTCAGAATGCAGAGGCAGAAGAATCAGAAGTTCAGGTCAGCTTCTACTACATAGTGAGTGCCAAGCAAGCCTGGGATACAATTTTTTTTTTAATCTGATTTTGGTCCAGGCTTCTTCTCTTACACCCCCTCCCCACAAGTGCTTTCTGGTTGCCTAGAGACAGACCTGGTCTAGGGGAGAACTGGAAGATAGCTACTATCCAGGATCTGTAAGGGACCTGCCCCTGCCTTTGGTGCCCTCTGATGTTTCGTATGCCAGGTCATGTCCTGCACCAAAGCTCTTGGCCATGCTGTTTCAATGATTCTCCCAGAATTCCTATGGCTCTGTTACTCCATTTTACAAGTGACCATGCCCACAGTGGCCACCATTCACTCTGTCCTTACTGTAGGTCAGCACCCAGGAACGGAGCTATCTTGTGGCACGGGCCCAGCACTGCAAAAAAAAATATTTATGTATTTATGAGTATTTACTTTCCTCGCTGCAACAAAATACCCAGCAAAAGCAGCTTTAGCTCTCAGTCCGTTACTGCAGGGCAGGCTTGGTGGCAGGAACTTGTGACCACTGGTCACATTGCCCCGACAGTCAGGAAGTGGAAAGATGTGGATGTTTGTGCTCAACTTTCTTCCTCCTTCAGTCAGGGACCCAAGCCCACAGGATGTTGTTATCTGCATTTACACGGGTCTCCCCTCCTCAGTGAACTAATCTAGATGCCCCTTTATACACAGGCCTACGTGTTTGTCTCTGAGACGACTCTAGATCTTGTCAAGCTGACAGTCGACAGGAACTGTCATCCTATAAATGTGCCCTTGTGTTTAATCTTCGCAAAGACCCCAGCGGTGTGCTTGGTATTATTCTCATCTCAGGCTGGGGCTGTAGCTTGGTTGTTCTTGCCTAGAATGATGAAGCCCCGGGTTCCATCCTCAGTAAGACATAAACTGAGCCTGATGACCTCAGCACTTGGAAGGTGGAGGCAGAAGGATCCGGTCAGGCCGTGGTGGCACACACTTTTAATCCCAGCACTTGGGAGGCAGAGGCAGGAGGATTCCTGAGGTCAAAGCCAGCCTGGTCTACAGAGTAAGTTCCAGGGCAACCAGGACTGTTAAACAGGGAAACCGTGTCTCAAAAAACCAAAACCAACCAACCAAACACTTCAAACCCACTAAATTAAAAAAAAAGGTAAGAAGAAGGACCTGAAGTTCAAAGGTTCTCCTTAGCTTGAGTCCTAGGCTTTGGAATTGTCTCAGAAAATTGATTTCCATTTTTCTGATGAAGAAGCTGGAGCAGAGGGATTCAGTGATTTCCTCACAGCAAAACAGTAATAGGTGGTAGAGAGGGGCACTTCTTGATGCCCAGTACTCTGCTTCCAGGAAACGTTGCCCCGTGGGAGTGAAGCTTTTTGGTTTTTGTTGTTGTTGTTTGTTCTTTGCTTGTTTTTCCAGACAGGCTATCTCTTGTAACAGCACTGGCTGTCCTGGAATTTGCTCTTATAGACCAGACTGGCCTGGAACTCACTGAGATCCACCTGCCTCTGTCTCCCAGCAGGAGTGAAGTTTTTAAAGATTTACTTATCCATACGTGTGAGTGTATGTGCAGGTGCACATGTGTGCTCCTGCAGAAGCCAGAAGAGAGTGGCAGATGTTCTCTGTCATTCCTTTGGGGTGTGGTCTTTCCCTGAACCCGGAACTCATGTTTTCTTGGCTAGATTGGAAGCCAGCATGCCCCAGCTATCCTCCTGCCTCCATTCTGCCCAGGAGCTTGGGTTCCAGGTGTTCATGGGACCCATGATTTATTACATGGGTTCTGAGATCCGAACTCTGGTCTTCGTGATTGTGCAGCAAGCTCTCTTCACCATGGAGCCATTTCTCCAGTCCACAGGAGAAGTTCTTTTTTGTTGTTGTTGTTTTGTTTTGTTTTTTTGAGACAGGGTTTCTCTGTGTAACAGCTCTGGCTCTCCTGGAACTTGCTTTGTAGACCAGGCAGGCCTCACACAGAAGTCCTGATGGGAAGGCCCCAAGTGTTTCTGGGTGCCTGGGTTGGTGGGAGACTTCTGTGTTCTCCTAGCTGTGATTCAGTTGTCCACTTCTGCTTGGCATTTGCACTGGACCAGTGAGTCCTGCCTTAGGTGGGAAGATAGGCTGGGTTCACAGGGTGGGGAGTAACTAGACAAGCCACACAGTCTGGGTGGCCAGCAGATTTTTAGGGAGGGTTGTACATTTGAGGGACTGTCCAAGACATGGGTTTAAACCCTGACTTGGCATCTTCTCATCTGCCCACCGTGGGCAGCACATACCCTCTCCGTGTCCATAGAGTTGGAGGAAGAGGGGGACCCACCCCTCACCTGTGTAGGCATTAAACAGTCGCGAGAGGGGTGCATGGATACATTTTGCATCAAGCTGGTGTGCAGCAGCCAAGCCACAAACACAACACAGCGGTGAATTACTGAGGACTGCCAATGAGGAAGTGGGGACACTCCACTTTCAGGGAACACCACGAAACTCAGGGCTGTCCATATGTAGAGCCTGAACTTGGCCAAGTTAGTGTCCTGCCCAAGAGCCCATTTCCCAGATAAGGATACTGAGAGTCCAGGAAGGGAAACGCTGAAAGAGTTGTCATCAAGCCGGCTCCAGGAGCCAGCAGGGAGAAGAGTGGGAGCCTTCAGCTGTCTCTCCCTCTGTGCTTACATGACTGGATGGTTTGTGGAGGCTTCGGGGTGCATCCCTGTGCCAAGTTTTAACTTTTAAATAGTTATGAGATGTATATCCTACCCTACCGTATTATATAGTGATGAAATGCATATCCTACCCTACCGTATATATATAGTATAATGCCTACCGTTTGGATCTTTGATCTTTGTTTTAGTCATTTCTCTTCCCAGACAGTCCTAGTTAAATGACCCAGCCCAGGCAAGTGGCGTTGTCAGAATGAATATCGCCAGTCCAGGCTCTCGGTGATAACTGCCGACTTGTCTCCTGATGTCAGTTCTCA